AAAAGCAGAGAGCTTGGGACTCAACAAAAGGGGGCAGGCAGAGAGAGTTTAAGCTGGGAGAGAGCTCTAAGGAAAAGAGGGTTTCTTCTACCAAAACTTCATCTTCTTCCTCATATTCTTCCTCTTCCTCCATCACCCTCTTGAGAAAAGTGTGAGGGAAGATCTTGGAGGAGCTTCTCTAAGAGAAAGCTTCATTCCCTTTAGAAAAAGAGAGTTCTATCCCACTTGGAAGAAGAAAAGCTTCAAATTTCCTTTGGAAGAGGAGAGCTTAATTCCAACAAGAAAGGAGCAATAAGCAAGCAAAGAGAGCCTCATCAAACATCACAAAGGTTTAATCCTTTAAAACTCCTGTATTTTTCTTTCTTAGAGCCCCTTAGGTATGGATGATAGAGATTTAAGGACCTGGGCTTTATGTTGGAGGAAAACTCCCTTAGATTATGAGCATTTCATTGAAAATCTCAACGAATTTTGAGCTCTTCTTCTAAGCCCTTGCACAAAAAACCAATCGGCCGGGAACCTAACATTTCCATGATTATTCGACGGCTACAACACTTTATGAAGGGGTTGAAGCCACCTTAATCTAGAGAACATGAAAAATTTTTTAGTTCTCATACTCTAGATCGCAAAGGCCACATTCGCAAATGAAATCCTTCATTTTCATGAAGGTTTTCTTTTCGTGAAAATTTTCTTCGCGCTTGTTAAATAAGTAGAGGTAGGCTCTCCGTTATGTTGCGTAACAAACAGTAACTACGACTTTATCAAACCCTAAATCCCAAACGTTAGAATGAATCAAATATGCGATTGAATGCAATGGGTTTCAATTGATTGCATGTCTTACATGACACGTTGCACAGATAACCACTTCGGTTCAATCGGTCGCCTGGCCCGGTCCATCGATCAATTAGGTTCGATCGGCTACCAAGGTCTGATCACCTACACTTTGGTTAGATCGACCTCCAAGGCTCAATCAACCAATCAATTGGGTTTGATAGGGCACCAAAGTTGAATCACTAATCACTTCAATTTGATCGACCACCAAGGCTCGATCAATAAAATCAATCACATTGGTTCAATCGACGATGAAGGCCCAATTAATAAAATTAATCACTTTGGTTTGATCAGCCACTAAGGTCCGATAAAAAAAAAAACCAATCATTTTGGGTCGATCGACCATCAAGGTCTGATCAAACAATCACTATGGTTCGATCGACCACCAAGGCTCGATCAAACAATCAATTGCATGCCACATTTCTTGCGCTGCCTTTGCATATGTTGTAAGTCATGATTGAGTGCTTGAATTCATACATGTGTGCGCATGAGAAATACTATTGCATGAAATTCAAATTTTTTCCTTTGGCATTTCTCGCATGTGGTGTCTCCTCGGGCACCAACACTCGTGGTACCACCGCACACGTCACCATGTGTGGCTCAATGCTTGCAAACTTTTGGTGAGTGGTGGCTAGCAATACTATCCCACCGGTGTGCAAGTCACCCAAAAGGAGAAAACGCTACATCATCTCTTATAGCGTCACACTTGAATGTCATAAATATTTCATCTTGTGTGTTTAATTTGGGTCACGCTTTAAAGCCACTGAACCCATTGAGAGCACGTGTGCCACCTGATTGTGTTATTTTGCATGATTGTATGTGCAGTACCTATGTGCCTTGATAGATAATTAGGCTCGCTAGGTGAGTGACCTTAAGCATTGTTTGCCGAGTAAATCTCAATGAGTAATGCGAGTTATCGTATTAGGATCAACACAAGTATGACTATGCTAGAGTTCTAAGGGCTCTACTATGTCACCTCGCACATACGAACTCACATTTAATAGTACGTTATATTTTAAAATTATACAATTAGCAAAGCTAAGTCATATGTGAGGCCAACTCTTTTTAAAACTCTTTTTGAGTAACATACTTTAGATCCCTTGGATCTTTAGGACGAGACCAGTTTTGGCGACCCCATTAAAATCATACGACAACCCTTACTTCTGCAATGTGCATGCACTTAGATGATGTGACTAGGCTGGAAATAAGAAGCATAGGTAGTCCTTTTAATGTCTATTTATTGTTTTAAGCTATTTGATTACCTTAGCCAGGAATATTTTCTATTGTTGTTTTTGTGAGTTTACTAGAGTTTGAGATGTGCGCACTTACATATATAGGGGCATTCTTCTTGCAGGGAGTCATGCCTAAAACGAATGAAAAGGGAGGAGCAAGTAATGATTTAAATACTAACATTTCTGTAGGTGTTATTAATGCTCTCTTTCTGCCAAGCATAACTCATTATGAGTTGCATGAGTATAACTCGTACTAACCTCTTCTGCAGGTCGAGTCTTGTTTTGAAATTTCAAAATGTATTTTTAGAATCCCAAAGAAGTTTGTATCGGAAATAAAATATGAGCACGGGTTCTGAGGCGTATGACGCATCGAACTACGTAACGAGGACCAGGAGCAGCTGCTCATGTCTCGTACCAAAATTCTAATTTTTTATTCATATATAAAATTAAAATTGGACATGTATATACGAAGTTCAACTGTCTTTTCTACTTTCTAGGATATGTTGTCGACTCAGCAGCATTTGGGTCATTAATATATTTATTTGGCTGTTATAAATTGCGTTGTGTGCCTGAAATTTACTCTTTGCTTGTAGTTTGTCTGGGCTCAACGAAAAATGCAATCTAGGCTCATTAATGGCCCAAAAATAACTTTTCAAAAATTCTAATAACAAAAAATTCAAAATAAACTAAAATTTAGGATTAAAATATCCAAATTTTAGAATGAGCAATTTACTTTCTGCTTTACTTTCTTGAATTGCCTTTGGACCGATTTTAAAACGGGCTACATAGCACGACAATCACCCAAATTATCCTTAATAGGGCCACCACATTTAAATTTAATTGCAAATAATTGCATCATTCTTCATGTCCAAAGGAGGAGTCCCTGTGCTCCTTCGATCGACAAAGTTAAGTAAAATTTCTACTTAGGAGGTTGTCTAGCACGATAAGTGTTAGAGGCATGTCCCCGACTGAAACAGGGAATAAGTCCTTTGTGATGTGATTCCGGCTCTGTAGCCGGACCTACTTTATGGTTTCACTCCAGCGACATCATCATAATTTAATTGACGGGTATAAGTCTCACCTTACCTCTTCTATCACATAAAGTCATAAGAATTAGTGGTTGCTTTCCTCTAACCTTAGAGCTACATGGATTCCCTCGAATGATATAATTCATAAATTCCTGACAAGGGGTCTCTAGTCGAGTTGGGTCGACTACCTTCACGACTAGGTAAACTTGAGGTTTGCATAGCTTGGGATGACAGATCTAAGGTATCTTGACCTGGCTAGGACGTGGGAGGTTGAAAAGTTATTGCGAGCATCCAGTCATGTGATCCGTAGCACATGAATCAATAATCAAGGGACTAGAGAAAAAATAAACCGTGAGGGTCATATGAAGAGTACCTTGTCAGACGTGGGAGGTTGATGGACCTGCACAGACTTGATTGGCTCCAAAAAGTTTGATCAATTGCTCCATCTGGTTTTCCAAGGATTCAGATGATCCTGGGATGTTCAGAGTAGGTTCGGTTGAGCTGTCGTACGCTAGGACGTCATCGTAAGACCTTTGATAACAGAGGATCGGACCAGAGGTTTGTATGTCGGCTTACCGTGAAGTTTTCAACACTTGTCCGAAGTTTGGTTGAGATGGCATGTAATCGCAAGTGAGGTGATTGGTTTGAGATGGCATGGACGAGGATTGAGTACATTTTGAGTTCAAGGCGGAGGATTCGACCGAAGAAGTAAGAGTGCTGAGAATGACAAATTCTGCTTTCTTCCCGACGAACCTCGGTGAAGATTGCATGAGCACAAGGAAGAGGATCCATACCTAGAATGCGAGAATGCGGCCCTGGACTTCGTTAAGGTCTTTACTAAGACCGGCCAAAAAATGGAACATGCGATCCTTTTCTACGCTCTTCTGGAAGAGGGATTGATTGGCTAGAGAATCCCTGTGTAGTCGTAGTATAGGTTGCATTCCATCCATAGTGCAACAACGTCATTACAGTAGTGGGTCATGATCCTTGACCATAGTTCTTCTGCCTCCCGAATTTTCTTAGATGCCTCATAGAGTTGACCAGAATTTTCTTAGATGTGATTGAATGCAATGATATTCACTTTATTTAGACAAGTTTTTGACATAAATATATATTGAATTTAATTCTGTAGTAGATTGCATGACTTCCATCTTCACTTCATAGAAAAGGAACCATCTTAAAGTTGCCTGTAAACACACTTGAGATGATTTTTTTTCTCATTTTTATGGAGTATTTAGAATGCAAGAGACTTGAAGGAGTTTCAAGAAAAAAGAGACCAGGACAATGTTATTTGTTATAACATTATTTCTCTTGTTAGCTACTGGACCTAATACTCGCAAGAAGAAAAAGCAGATAACATCAAAGATAAGATTATCCGGATAATCCAAAGGTTCTTTTTGCCACACATGTTTAGATTCTCTCTTCTGAGAATTATAATTGTGCATTTGCGTTTCTCGTACCTTATAATCACCTTTTGTATCATTTTCTTTTTCTTCATTAATTGATAAGGGATCAGTCCCTAACTTCTTGATAAAAAATAGAAAATGAAGCAACATTTACGGTGAAATTAGATATAGCATCAATGATAATAATAGAGCAAAAGCCATTGAAATATTAGACAAAAAAAAAAAAAAACATTCACAATAATGTCGTTATGACCTTATAAAGCACATAAACCTAATATACTGCAAAAGTGCAATCAGAAATAGTCAATAGTTTGAAGCAACACTAGCATTTTTGAAAAATGAGACCAATTATTTCTAGATAATTACATCTTTGTGTAATCTATTATCCTAACAAATTTGAATCTAGGAATCTCACAAACAAACAAGTAAAGGCTATTAATACATTTTGCAATCGCATCTCAGTTTAATATTCATGATTAGTTAGCACAAAATGAGCGAACTATTACCTTATATACACAATCGTGAGGGTATAAATCCTTCAAACTAGGATCAATGTATTCTTTCAAGCTTGCCATACTAGTTGAATTTGGAGCTTTCTTCAGAGCTGCAAGCATCTAAAAAGTAAAATATAAAATACATCCAGTCAGTCATGGAAGACTAAATTAACTTTCACTCTAATAAAGTAAATCCAACAAGTAAAAATTACAAAATATTTGCAAATTTTAAAGATTATAATAGCATATAGAAACGTGCACAAAATTTTATCACCCATATGATCATGGATTTTAATGAACATAGATTCCTCGCTGCAAATCATTATTGTAGCTCTAGGGCTTTTAGTTCAGGAAATGGTCTCTACTGAGCTCTCACTTTAGTAAGAGTCCGTGATCAGTTTATAGCTCAAGATGACTAAGGTCATCACATCAAAAAAGGTTCTGAAGCCATATCTTTTCCAGTAAATACGGAGACCAAAAATCGAAATACATTGCAGACTAAATACCTACTCATATCATGTTCATGACCATTTCAAGAAGAGTAAAAATGCTATTCACTTTTATTGTTCCAATGAACCACGATGCTCACTTTCCTCTCATCAATAATTACAAATAGTCTTTTTTCATGTAGATAAATTCGTTAAAACTAATAAAAAAGATTTTTCTATGAAGTTAAGATGAGTTTGCGACAAGCTCCGTGTGTGAAAAGTACATAATGACCATAAATTGAAAAAGGTGAATAACAGCTAAATAAGATGAGCACTTGAATATGCAGACAATGGTTGGAAATAATTTTAAAAATCCAAATGATTCAGGTTCAAGCGCTCACTCTATCATTTCGACCGCTGTGTCACTTAAATAACCCTCATTCTATCAAATATAGAGCTATTTATGTTATTTCTTTATATGATTAAAAAATATATATAATTTTATTTAAAAAAACAAAAAAAGAAAAAAAAGAAAAAGAAAAAGAAAAAAAAAAGAAAAAGAAAAAGAAAAAAAAAGAAAAGATAAGAAAAAAAGATGAAAAAAATAAAAAAAGGAAAAAAAGACAATGAACAGATGTCGAGCTCGACGACTAAGCCCGACGCAGCCGCACGAGCAGCAGAAGAAACGAGCGACGGAGCAGACGACGCACGACGATGAGTAGAAGACGCGGCCGCACGAGCAGCAGAAGAGATGCCGACCTCGATGACTGAGGCCGACGCAACCGCAAGAACAGAAATTAGCGACGAAGCAAACAACGCCCGTCGACGGCGGCGACAACAACAAATCAAACGGAAGTGACGAAATCGACGAACAACGAGCAGAGCTTGATCAACGAAGAATGGGTCTAAGTTTTAAGTGAATAAAAATGGGTCTAAGTTTTAAGTGAATAAAAATGGGTCTAACCCCACTGCTATGGACATTTTAGTTCTACCAGAAGAGAATACTACTAGACAGAAGGTATTTTTTGCCCCTGAGGACCCACTCCCCCCCCATGACAACCCCATCAGGCTGATTCTTCGAAGGAGGAATGACAGGTTTACACTTACACGAGGAAAAAGAAGAATAGAGATCTACTAGAGCTCAAGAGTCTTATGGATGATACTTTGGTTACTACGGATAAAGATTAACACCTTACCAATCTGCTAGCTGGATCAATACCGAGAACTAAAGCCAGAGGCAATACTAGATTGGGATGACCCACACTTTTTTCAGCGCCCGGGTGGTTTTTTGGGTATTTTTTTATTTCCATATGTACTCATCTTTTACATTTTTTTGTGTGTGATTTATTTTTGATGTGTTGTACCGTGTGGGTTGGGTGTTTAGGCCCACTCATACAAACCTATCTATATCTTTCTCTTTAATATATCAGCCCTTGGATTTAAAAATAAAAAATATATTGCTTGTAGTTTAATATATATATATATATATATATATATATATAAAAGCACGAAGCGAATATATTAATAAAAGAAAGGTACAAATAGGTTGGAAGAAAAAGCCCAACTTGGCACCCCAAGCACCTAGCATACAACACATGCGTAGGAAATACATGCATACCCAAAAAAAGAACCAAGATTAAGAAGTAGACATAGAAAATGTACGCCAAAAGTCTGCCAACACTCATAAATTCAGTTAGCTTGCGAATGAGTCAATTTAGCCCTGCCTCTGCCTTTGATTCTAGGACAGGAGCCAGCTAACAAATGTTAAGTTTGTTGCCATTAACCGAAAGAATCAATGTATCATCCATCAAGTTTGGTAGTAGACATTCATTCTTCTTCTTCCTAGATGTGTAAACTTGTCATTTCTCATCCGAAGATTGGTTCATTTGCTCAGTGGATTGGTCCAAAAATTGTCGTAAAGGTGTAAATTGTTGCACATCATGAACCCCATGTGCCTGATTAACAGTAACAACTTGTTCTATCTAATTAAGAGGTAGAATCTCAGTAGAAATATTGTCACCCATTTTATCAAAGTTTGGTTCTAGGGCAGGTACAGTATGAAATGTCTCCCTTGCCCCCATGAGAAGAGGTTCCATAGGAGGTCCTACATCATGAGCTTTGTGTGGCATATTACCCTCGAGGATAGTGACATCTTCAGAAGTATCCTTCTGATGATCAATAGTGTCAATAACTTAGAGCAAACCAAGAGGAGCGGAAACACTGTCTCTACCTGAGCACTTTGTTTCTTTGGTCTTAAATGAGAGTGTAGATAGAGTGGTCGAACATACGACAATTCGAGCAATACAAAAGGAAATGTTCAATCACAACATTTTGCCACAACATTCAATCACAACATTTTGCCAATATCCATGGTGTTGTGTGCCCAACCAAATTTCCTCAGAAGCGATTAAAGTGATGTCTCTTTCAACAAGTACATTGGCTTCAAAGGGACGAGAAAGATTAAAAGTAGGAATGTCCGTTTTGAATGGCTTACCAAACACTGAGGCAATAGAATACAACACTTCTTAAGTAAAATAATGAAATTTCAGGTCAGGGAGGCAAATCCAAACCGGAATGATTAGTGGTTTCGTCTGTAATTCAAAATCTACCGACCATTTCAAAATCTTCATTGCTCTGATATCAATTCAAATTAACCTTCTAGCAAATAATTGTGTGTCATACTTTTCATATTTAGTTGATTGAGGATGTGTCTTCCATCTAAAAGTCCGATTTTTCACTCCCCAACAAGGTGCATAAGCTCAAATTCCTTACGAATAAACTCTATTTTGGGATGGTCATAAAGAAATTTCCTAATCAAATTCAAACGGCAGGAGAAAGCAAGCTGATTACATTCTGCTTCTGTAAAAAAGATGGTTGGTTTATCATTCTTCCTACCAAACTTCTTCATATCCTCCGTCGACACAAACGAATGAGAGAAAAAAACACGATTTAGTACTTGAGGTGTGAACACTCACAAGGGCGGTAACATACGTTCTGTCTAAAGTCATCACCAATAGAAGGAGGTGTGGGATTAAGCACAATGAAGGAAATAGAGAGCAAATGACGAATCCAACACAGGCCGCAAGGAGCGGAGCAAAGGAAAGCCTCTCTGATTCGAGCACAGATGATCGCCGGAAGATGGTCGTTCAACGAGCAAAGTCGATGAGGGCGACAAAGATGTACACTGCAACAGCAAAAGAACCGCAACTGCAAACGAACGACGAGGACTATAAAAGGGGAAGGCGAAAAGCAAAACAGACGAAGTAGAAATAAAGGCAAAACCGACGAAGAGCTCGAAACACTTCTTCCTCGAATGCGAACAAAGCGAGAATCAAAGGAAACGCTCGAGTTCGCCATGAAGTGAAACCCTAGCAAAGCCTTCCGATATATATATATATATATATATATTGAAAAGCCTAAGGGATGATTTTATTGAAATAGAAAGGATACATAAAGGTTGTATGAGAGAGCTCAAAAGAGGCACCCTGCCTATACGATACAAGTACAGTAATACCAAAACAAAAAGATACAGATAGACTCAATAAAAAGTAAAACAAATTTAAAACATGTAGAAAACAAGTAGCTAGGGATGAGCCAGTTTAGTCCTGCCTCTTCCTCTAGTTTTAGAAGCGGAGCCAGATAATAAACTTGAAGAGTCGTGTCATTGTCAGGAGTAACTAAAGTATCATCCATTAAGTTTCCAAGTTGGAGTATATATATAGGAAGATTGTGCCGCAAGCCTTAGCTTGTTGGTGGCAGGGTCACTGTAAGTCCCCTTAGGTCAAGGGTTTGATCCCACTATGGCGCGAGGGCTCTAGAATTATAGGCACATGGTGCGGGTTGTCAGCATGGGGCCTAAATGCGCATGAGAAATTGATATTTGGGCCCCTGCCAAATATCGATTTCCTTTTTAAGAAAAAAAATATAGGAAGATATAACAGACCGATTGATAGATAAATTGATGGATAAAGTAGCATCTCATTTCTTCACCCATCACATATCCAAATGTGAAATAAGTGTTAAGATTGTGAACTAGGACGAAGGAGAGAAAAAAGTAGGCGAGGAAAAAAAGGCACAAAAAAAAGAATAAAAAATAATCAATTTTTAATACTGAAAAATCAACTTATCAAGTTTGGTAGATATTAAGGCTTGTATGAGATTAGTTATTGTGAGGTAAGAGTTTATTTCAAGATTATTTTTTGTTTAGATTTATGTTAAAGCTTAGTAACAAATAAATGACTTAAAAATTATATAATTATTTAGATTATATATAAGAGAATAAATTTCAGGGTGATTGGTGCTAAGAATCTTGTCTGATTACCAGTTTTAAATTATATATTATACCCATTTCTAATTCATGAAACAAAATTGCATTATCCTTATGCAAGTAAATATTTATATTTATTTAAACTTGGATGAAAGTTATGTATTTGATAGTTATTAATTTTGTGAACTTAAGTAATGTTAATATCCCATCATTTAAAACAAAACCATCATGCATTACTTGTAGGTTATGTAAAGCACGTATTTAATGGATTATGACTGTGCTAGCATTTTATCAAAATAATATATTTGAAAGGCAGGGTATATAATGTATTGTTACTCGAGAAGATGAATCGAACAGTTGAGCTGGAGGGAAGACGAACCAAACAATTAGGCAATTAAAGGACTGATGAATACGAAAAGAAAAGTTTGGGAAGTCGACAAGGGGAGCGAAAAAGCAATAAGCTTGGGAACCGAACAAACGAGTCCATCCTATAAATTGACCGAGATGAAGGTGCTCTAGGGTGTTCGACCAAGGAGCATAGGAGGAGGAAAGAGGAGTGGCGTGTCCTCTTACCGAAGAAGCGACACGCGGTCGAAAAGGGGCAACAGACCAACGAAGTGAACAACAACAAAGAAAAAAAGATCCAACAACCTCTCCCAGAGGTTTGGAGTGGTTGCTCAATGATGGAAAACTAAGTTATACTTGAGATCTATTGAATTTATCATATTTTCCAATGACTTGAGTTATAACCTTATGGTGATGTGGGGTGGTTATAACATACTCCACTATCTCATGATGGAAAATGAATATCAATATTTAAACATGATTTATTCCAAAGAAACAATAGGAGATATAAAATGAAAAGAAGAAAACTAAGCAATTGCATGTTAGAATATGATTGATCTCGAGTGTTAAAATTACTACATTGGAATAGCAGTGTGCATGATTATTAGACATGTGACATTTTTATTATGATTCTATCAATACAATTACCCTAGCATTATAAATTGTCCTTAGTTAAGCAAATGTCATTTTATGATGATTATATGCAATGCACTGAACAAGTATATAAACATAATTTAATCCTTGGCTTTAGTTCATGATTAGCATTCTAAGTTATTTTATTTCTATAAGTATTTGAATTATATATGAATGTTAATTACTTTACTAATATTCATAGCTCATCAGGTTATTATTCTAGTTGAAATTAGAAAGAGAAATTGAGCTTGAGTTGAGAATCATGAGAATCATGTTTTAAATTCATTATCCTATGTTTTGATGCCTAAAATTAATATGTGATATGAATCATACTAAGGTTAATGTATATGATGAAATTTTATTGTTATATGTCCATAAACATTGATGTTCATTAGAAACTCTGTATTTAAACAAATGGAATATTTTGGAATACTCAACACAATTGATTATTTCACTTAACAAGACCAAGTAGTCTTAGGACGAGTGCCCACACGCTCGTCTTGAGCTCAACACTTTATATAGATAACCCTAGGCTCGTAAACAACAAAGAGTTTCATAAAATTTGGCTCATAACATGCATTAACTCAAAAATAAATTTTATTTTCTAAAGCATACCTCAAAAGGTTTTTCGGCATCAATTCGCTTTTCTGAAATTATCGATTTCACATTTCCTCCTTCCTATCACTAGAAACGTTATTTCACTTCACTGATTTGGTGCTAACTTATTTTTAGAAGCTTGCAAAAATCAATTATGCCACTTCTAGCATAAAATCGGTGCCTCTGAAGACTAAAGAAAAAGAGAAAAACACAAACAATAAGGTAAGTATCAAAACGAATGGGTGAGGAAGAAAATGAACGTCTCAAACAACGTAAGAGAGAGATTCACAATTACTTAAATTGCCCCGGAACCCTGGATTGTGCTCGGCGGCACTCAGTCTTGCACCTAGTTTGCCTGCTAGCTCACGGCCCTTGCACTGTAGCAAAGATCGTGAGGCTCAGCTTCAGACACATATGAAACAAACAGGAAAAAGAAAATCGAAGCTTGGGACTCCTTATTTGACAAACGAATGGATTAAAAGACGTGAAGCAGATGGGAACAGTGTGGGTACGAGAGATTAAGGGAGGATTAAAAGAATTAAACATATTAATAAAAATTAAAACTTCTTAATTTTATTTCTCTTAATCTGTTCATTATTCATACAATATGCTTTCTATAGAATTGATCAATTTCCTGCGTCGAATTTAATAAAATTAATTCAAATGAATTTCTAGCAATGTAAAGATTGGGGTACATTTCAAATTTACCAAATTTTATTTGATTTCTTGAAATTTGGGCATTACAGCTCTCCCCTCATCAACATTTCGTCTTCGAAATTTCTGAATTGGAAAGAGGGATATTTCCGCAGAATTTCTTTTTTTTCAAGTAGCTTCATTTTCAAGCTTGTGCTTCCACTTTTTCTTCACAAAAGAAATCTCTAAGTTTCAAAGTATCTTAACATCAGTTGCTCAAATCTTTTCAGGCTTTTCAATATATGTTAGATTTTTCTGTACCTGAATATCTTCATGTAAAATTCTCTACTCTAAATTTGAAACTCATTTTTTTAACATGGAATTGTGAAACACATCGTGTATAACTGACATATCCGCAGGTAACGCTAATCTGTAGGCAACTGGACCGATCAATTCTATAATCACTAAAGACTCGATGTATTTAGGACTTAATTTGCTTCCATGGCCAAATCTAGTTGTAGCTTTCATTGGATTGACTTTTAAAAATACGAAGTCTCCAGCATCAAAGGCGATTGCTTTGTGCATCGGGTCGTAGTATTTCTGCAGTCGATTCTGAGCAGTTTTCAATCTATCTAATTAATCTATTTTTTTCTCTTGCTTCGTCAACTAGCTCAGAACCTAACATTTAGTGTTCACCCAATTTAATCCAATTGCGTGGAGTTCTGCACTATATGCTATACAGTTCTTAATAAGGAGTCAATTTAATGCTGGAATGATAGTTATTGTTGTAAGAAAACTCGGTCATTGGAATGTGATCATCTCAACTGTCTTCAAAGTCGAGAACATAAAGCCTTAACAGGTCTTTAAAAACCTGAGTTGTCCTTTCAGATTGTTCGTTGGCTTGTAAATGAAATGCAATGCTAAAATGTAATTGTGTACCTAAACCTTGTTAAATGTCTTTCCACAACCTGGACATAAATCTTTTATCTCTGTAAAAAAAAATGACTTGTGGAATTCCATTTAATCTGATAATTTCTTTGACATATAATTTGGCCAACTTTTCTACTGAATCTGTCTATCAAATAAATGAAAAATGTCAAAAATAACCCAAATACTGTCGTGACCTTATCTGGATCGAGAAAATCACATAACAAAATCCATAGCAATTTCCTCCCATTTTCATTCAAGTATCGGCAACAATTGTAGCAATATACGGGATCTCTGATTTTCAGCCTTTACAATCTGAAATAGTTGATATTGAGATATATATTCAACAACATCATTCTTCATACCCGACCACCAGAGTGTCGACTTCAAATCTTTGTACATTATCATGCTGCATGGATGAATTAAGTGGCTTGAATGATGAGCTTCTTATAGAATTTATCGTCTCAAATCAGAATCAGCAGGTACCCATATCTGCAGCATTTTTCGGATAATGTCATCTTCATCAATAAACATACTGATCCTCTTTCATAATTGATATTGTTTTAGGAGCTTTAGATACTCCTATTATCTCTCTGAGTTGACTTCATTCTATCCATCACACCATGTCACTTGATCTTCTAACTTCCAAATGTAAAGCATCAATTTCTCAAATCAACTCTAGCCTTTGAGTAAGAATCCAACATGGACTACCTGTGGATTTACAGCTCAAAGTATCGACAACTACATCTGCTAGGCTTGAACAATACTGTATATCCATATCGTATTTTTTTATCAACTCTAACCAACTTCACTTCCTAAAATTCAACTCTTTTTGTGTGAAAATGTACTTCAGACTTTTGCTTTGCTTGACATGTCTCCTACGTGAAGCTTTGGTTTAGTCCTTACCCACACCTCGAGCTTCCTCTCCCACTTCACTAGTCGCCTCACACAACTTCTGCTTCGCTTGAGATGCCTCCTACATGAAGCCTCACCTCTCGATAGTAATTGAAGTTTCCTCTTATTCCTACGAGATGCACGCCTCATTGATCTTCCTGCAGGAATTCTTCTCGCATGCAACACCGCATTGCAAGTCTGATCCCTTCTCTGCACAAGAAGTCCATTCGTCTGCTTCAGCTACGGCTCAACCCAAAACTGAAATATTTCTCTACAGCTAGTACTACGCCAAGCGTGACCTACCCTTATGGCTCGGGTTCTTCTTCTTCTCTTTGGCTAAGGCACGACAGTTTCTCCTCTCTTGGTCTCTCCTGCTATCTCTCTCCAGTTATGTTTGATTGGTTCGATTGGTTCGAAACAAATACGACTCTTATGTTGTAACCGAAAAGATATCTATCCCTACACCTATTGGATTTTTTATTATTATTACTATTATTATTATTATTAATTTCAGTTATTACAAATGGTTTGGCGGAATTAAGGGGATAATAATTATTATTTATCTCCTAGTTACACCTTGACACTTTGATTTGAGAGTAGCTCACAAAAAATTGATTCTACCCAGCAATAACATCGGACAAAAATCCATACTTAACCATTCTCTACCTAAAATTCTCTACTTAAAAATGTGTGAGAGGCTCAAGTAAAGCCAAAATGTAAGTTAAATCTCCCTTCGGTGTGGCTTTTTTATAGCCTATAAGGTCGAAAAAGCAGTTGGAAAATTTTGCTTTGATTAAAAACATAACATCTTTCCAACTTTTCTCAGAATGTGCACTATTTTGGGAAATCATAATAGAATCCATAACTTAGAAAGAATAAATAAAGAGGTTCTTAGAGTAAAAATTAAAAAAGCAGAATCCACCCCAAATAAAACCAAAAATATGATTGTTCATTCTTCAATTTATTGATAATTTCTTCAAACAAAAAGTTTAAAAGAAAAATTAAATTTCAACTAAATGTTTCTCCTTAACAAAATAACTAGGTGAAAAATGATTTAAATTTTATTTTTGTATCATTTCCATAATAATTTCCTTTTCATTTTCTCTTTCTCACTTCCGTCAGACAATATATTGTGAAATAATTGTTATAAGCAGATGGCATAAGCAGAATATAGTTATTTGTTGGCTAGAAACTTCTCAAGAGGTACAAGCTGTGTACCCTTTAATAATTATTACTGTCAATAGCTGAACTTACAATTGATGCCAAAGAGCGCCTTTGAAATTTCCCTGTAAGTGTTTCTTCTGTTTTGCTTATTGTCTCCCTGCCAGATATCAGTTCGAATAGTACGACACCAAATGCATAAACATCACTTTTGGAGGTAGCTAGACCATTACGCAAATACCTGCAGAATTGCAGGTATTAGTTGGAGGAAACAATGAGAGATTTTAACCTTAACTTCCAAAATTAGCTAAATCCTCATGTCACTAACTCTGGAGCCAAATAACCAAAAGTTCCCACCACTTTTGTGGTAGAAGCCTCCCCATCATTAGTTGGAGCAAGAAGCTTTGCAAGCCCAAAATCAGAAATCTGTATGGACAGAGTTTGCTCATAGCATTGTTTCAATACAAATAATGATAGATCAAAACAATTATCTAGTGTTTATGAAGTAGACCTTTGCCCTGAAGTCACTATCAAGTAAAATATTACTAGATTTTATATCTCTATGAACATAATGATTCTTTGTGTGCTCATGGATGTATTCCAGACCTTTAGCAGCATCTAGGGCAATCTGGACCCTCGTTATCCATGATAATGAAGTATGATCTGATAAAATAAAGGTAAAGCAACATGTAAAATTTTGCTGTCACAAAACATACATGGGCAAAAAATTGGAATAAATGAACGCCATAGGTGGAACTCCAATGTTTCCAATGAAGTATTTCCAAGAAATATTTTGGATTTCGCTCAAATTTCAGAAGCTTTCCAAGAAAAAAAAAATATAAACCATCTTTTATAAATAAAAAAGTATGGTTTAGTAACCAAGATGGCCAATTTGCAGAAATATGGAGGCTATTAGGAATCATTTTTATTTTTTGATTATTTAATTTTCATTTGAAACAAAACATATTTGATGTTTGTACTTGTTTTTAAAACACTCAAAATACCTAAAGAAAGTTTGGGTTGTGGGTTCAGAAAATTTTGACGCCCTCAAACTCACATTTTGTTTTGTTTGTTGAGAGAACTTTAAAGGGTCGAACTTCCAAAAGGCAAATGAAATTGTAGTTAAGACTACTCAAAAATTTCACCCTCATTTTGCGAGGATTGGTTAATATTGGGCTCAAGATTTCTCATTGGCGTAAGCCCCTCTGGTTAATTACCACTCATGATAACAAGAAAACACTTTAGTAAGACAAGTCATTTAACACTAAGTAATCAATATAGAGTAGCAGCAGATATGTGCTTTACATTATAAATTTTTTTATTTGGAGTTTCAAGCAGATGGTGGAGGAAATGACGGACCCGATCGAGATTCCATGGTTCTATCTTCCAAGGTTTCGTGGTCCCTGATCTACTAAGTTAAAGAAAGTAGTCAGCATGGGTTGCGTCATCTAAGGGACTCTTGTAGATCTGAGATGAATGTTTGTATAAGGATAAATTTAAGTCGACCTTTGCTGACAGAAGGATTTCTATCAATCAATTGAACCCTTATACTTCACAACTCAAAGAATAGGAAGTTGTTAGGGCACATACGGGTTGCAACCGTGACTGTAATAAAATGATGTCGTTTAGCAACAATCACCCAATTAGATGGCCTTGGTCGTAACCACGCCACCTTCTAATGTCATTTGGAGGCAAAATCACGTGGACAAAAAACTCGGGTTACATCCTTACTAGCGTGAAATTACTTTTAGTGTGAATATAATCGTACAGTTGACTTTACATCACTTCTATCGTGAGCTAAAGTCAATCAAAAGTATGACCCTTAACAAATTGTTGTAGATGGTGGATGTGAATTTGTATTAAGTTCATAAGTGATAATTTTACTTGAATAATTTTACTTGCAGACAAGGCGGACAGACAAATTATTTTTTTTTTAATATGAATTATATGAGTACTAGTTTGGTGTTAACCCACGTAACATTACTAAGCTATTTATTGAAACATTTTGTATTTTAGCTGAAGCCCATCCAGGTGTTAAAATTTCTTAAGATAGTGCATATTTCATTATTGCATCCATACCATGCATTTTTATGAGTCTTCATACTCATAAATGATTAATTATCAAGAGTTTTATGTCCTTCAAAATATAATAGCGCACTTGGCATACTAAGAAGATGCAATTACACTCATTATAATGTATTTCCATGCTTTAAATACATTATACCAAGAAATCATTTTAAAAGGCACATATAAAACTTATGATTATATAAATTTTTCTTATATGAATTAATACATCGATGCATGCAAAATTTTGCTTTTAAGCATTTTCAATGTCGTCTTCTATTCGCTTGCAACAATGTTGTGAATCTGGTGGTGAAAATAAGCAAATGACATCATAGAATAATATTTAAAAATAACATTTATATGCTTGAATTTTAGCCATAATTTATGCAATTATATTTAATTCAATTTGAGAATCCTCTATGCTTAGCCCCAATCAAGCTTAGCCTCAATTTATGAATTTAAATATATCACATAATTTGTTAGTTATTCAATTTTTCATAAACCCTATATAAATCCTAGGAGCATTCGACCGTTCTTTCAACGTGACTTGATTTATAATCTATGTGATTACCGGTATATTGTATTTTATAATTTTATGTCGTTTTGAGGTCCAAACAAATCCAAGTTTCAAATCATTTTGCAAGTTTAAATCACAAAAAAAATTGGCAGTCTACCAACGTCTTTCTCATTTGGGGGGTTGCATCGGGGGTGTCTGCCTGCCCAGTCGTCTATAAAAAGTGTCGGCCAGTAATGTGAGACAATGCGGCTGGAGAGAATCTTCTAATCAATCAGTCTGTGAGACACAAGTAGGTCTTTGATTATCCTGCATGGATATAAAATTGGAATAATTTCCCTCCATTTATACATTTACTCATGAGATAGTGATGATGTCGGCAGAATGTTATCGGCAATCTAAGGAATTAACATATAATTCTTTCCTTCATTCTATCTCCTCTATTTACATCTCAACTTTTTTTATAAAATATATAATATGTATTTAAAAATAATAAAGCTCTTTTGGTAGCTACTGCGAGGAGAGTTTCTCGGCTTGGCATACATGTGAGAAAGGGAGTAAATCAGGGGAGAGGTGTAGATTTGGCTTTATTTTTTGCAGTTAAGCTTGCAAAAAGAAAATGGTAGAGAGAGTTGCGTGAATAAAATAAGTGAAAGCAACGAGATCCGCAAGATGATGATTCACAAAAATAAACTACAAGTCGCTCGGTCAAGGGCATAGAAAAGAAATGTGATTGAAGAAGGGCAGGCCAAGATTGTTTTTCTGATATTAATCTCAAAGAAAAAAAAGCTCCTCGTCTTTATTGCGTCAGAGGAACAAAGAGAAACAAAAGACAATGGAAGGGCTGCGATTGAGAATAAGGAGTTGGGCATCGGCTTCAGTGTTAGATACAAAAAGAGAGAGAATTTCGAAGGTTTCAATGCATCATGATCCCACCGTTACTTCCTCGCTAGCCCTAGCAAGGAAGTTTCATGTTTCAGCATATAGAGAAGAGGACAAACAGGGAGTTTTGAAGATCCTCCTACCGAATGATATCGTCGTTTCTCTTCCTCCAGCAGCAGTACCACAGGGGTTTGGTCAATTTGTCGCAAGATCGTAGAGAAGATTGCCAAATGGGTGTGATCAATAGAAAGTGGGTTTCGAAGATCTTTGTGTCACAATTCATTGTTGCTTTTTTTGATGAAGCGCACCAGAAGATCTTTGTAGGTATTTGACTGGAAAAGGAGATGAGCGGGACAGTTTTGTCTGTATTTGATTTTCTGTAATGGAGAGGACCTACTCTGCATAAAACTTTGAAATAATTTCTAATGGGGATACTCAGCAGAAGAGGACCAACTCTATATAACGATTTTTTAAAACAAAATAACAAAACATATAAAAAGTGCACCAAAAAAAATAGTTAAAAAAAAAACAAAAAGAACAAGCACAATGACAAAAAAATTGATCAAAATAGTCCATGGTAAATCAACTTGTACACTGAAATATTTTATGGATGGTTTCATGTTGATCCAACACAAAGTTCGAAGTAACCTAAATTGGTGAAAATAATGAAATAGGAAACTCTATATTCACTTTGGACTCTCCAAGTTGACAACAAATTTGTTGAGTTCACATTGAATTCTATAGACTTGAATCTGAACTCTTTAGATTGACTATGAGCTTAACATAGTATTATCAAAAATTAAAAATAATTAATTAATTAATCAAAGTCAAATTTCATCAAATTTGAAATTAAAATTTCAAAACAAAATCAAAATCAATCATTCAAATTAAACTTAGAAGAAAAAAAAACTAAATCTAATACCTAAAAAATACTTAACAAAACTTAAACAAACTCTTAATCAAATTTAAACATAGAATTGAAATAATAAATAAAACAAAATCAAAACATATAATAACTAATCACTTAATCCAAGTTTAAGAAAATTTTAACTTAAACTTAAACTTAAACTAATTTGACATAATCAACTACACTAAATAAAAAACTTAAAACTAAACTGCAATAAAATATATATATATACACCAATATAAAATAAACATAAACCTAAAATGACAAAAGTAAAACTAATCATAAACAAACCAAGACAAAGTAAGTTCAATCCTAAAGTCATTTAAACATTAATCGACATTACAACCAACCTTAAACATTAATCAAAATTAAAAATAAGTACAAAATAAAGTTAAAAGCTTATATGAATTTAGAACAAACTAATTAAACACTGATCATTTGATGATCTGTTTATGAGAGTAAATGTTTTAGTTTTGAAATGCAGAGGTAGACCTATAAAGAATTGAGCATATTGTATAAAAAATGATCTTAATTTATAAGAATTAAATGAAAATATGACATTTAATAGGACACATTTGAGAAAAAGGATACATGTAGCCAACCCCATTTAGTAGAATAAAGGCTTGTTATTATTGTTGTTGTAAGACTAACTTTATTCCACTAAATGCTCAACCCCATTTAGTAGAATTGAGCATTTAGTGGAATAAAGTTGAAGTCTTAAATATCGAGGTGTCCTCCTTGGAAGTTATACTAATGGAGCAAAATCATGAGGTATTAAGCCAAAGCAGACAATATCATGATGGATGAGAACTCAGGCTATTACATATTATAGGCTGATGACCTCATTTTTTGTGAGGTCTAGTCTTCCTCTTAGGATTTAGGATCTAGCCTTTGATCTAGCCTCAGGGACCTCCCTTCGACTATCTTAGAACCTTAGAAATGGGACCTGCCTCGTTCTAGAAATTGAACCTACTTCTGTACCGTTTTGGAGTTTCACGTGTGTGGTATCGACTTCTAGCACTTAGAAGGGTGAAACCAACATGAGGAAGCCCAAAAGAAATTCATATAGTACCTTTTGAGCCTTAGGGTGACCTTCTGCACAATTCATACTCCCGCGCGCACAAATCTTTGCAATTCGGAGAGTCAACGCGTCTGATCACCACGATTCGCATCACTTGCACCGTTACCTATCGAAGACTTGAATAAACTTTTGATGCGGATAAACCTTTTAAAACGATCGATCGCGGGTCGAAATTTTGTGAAATTTGAATTTCGACGCGTTTTTGACCCGATTGT